GACGCGAGGTAAACCGAAGAGGTAGGAGCATTTAGCGAGGCGCAACGAGGCAAGGCGGGGTAAGACTAAGCAAGCGTACCGCGCCATGCGAGGTAGAACGAAGCGAAACACGAAGCGACGTGACGGAGCGAGGCGCGGTATCGTGCGACGCGGTGCGGTATGTCGCGTTAAACAGGACAAACTAAATACCATTCTCGTACAAACTATATATGTAGTTACGTGTCGTCCTTTCTCTTCCTCTCCCTTTCTTTATGCAGTGTCTCGTGAAAGTATCTCAACTTATCGTATATCGTGCGTTTTGTATGAAATATTTGAAAATTTCATTAGCGCTGTAACGACATCCGACTATCAACGATAGCGTTGACAAAGTCGAGGATGGTCCAATAGGAGTTTGGATAAGTGTGCGTACATTCGCGAGTAATTTTATCTGTTTCTCTGTCTCTTTTTCATTCGGCCGCGGAAACTTTCTCTCGCGTTGGATCGTCGATTTGGATCGACGGAGGGCTGAAACGTTGTTCCGACGAGATCCCTCGGATGACGCGTCGACTGCCACGAAAATGCGACGCAGTCGTTGCGTCGCGGTCACGCGAACTTTTCATTCCACGAAAAAACGTGCGAGCCCGGGGGACACGAACGCGCACCTCTAGCGCGAATTCATTTCACCGATCAATCGATTCCCCGAAATCGAGCAGCGTTTAACTCTCCGAAGGGTAGTCTGCCGTACTTTTGAGGTCGCGTGCGTAACCGGTTAGCAGTTGCGTCAATGTTGCGAATCGCAGTTCCGTTTGCAAACCGTTCCCTGCATCGAGATACGTATTTCGTTGATTGGATGGCTTGAAAAAAGGATATCAACCGTTTCGCGACCGAATATCTCGCGTCACAAAAACGAACAGGCACTCGTCGTTTCAAGGCGACTTTTGACCTCGCGAGCGATTATTCCAATCTCTTGGCTGACCGTCTCTCGATTTCCTCGTTGACGTTGTCCTATTTAACGGTCCTTCCGGTGATAAAGAAGCACGGACTAGGCGCCGCCTTTGCTTCCGTCACACGGACGCATTTATCGCGTAAAACTTTGATGGTTACCGATAAGAACCGCCACTCGACAGGAATTCCTGTACACTTCGTATAATCCTGTTCGTCCTAATTTCACGCAATTTTCAGAATCTCCATTCTGGCGACTACGTAATACCGCATAGCGTTGATATATTGGCGCGTAACATCGAAACGAGACTCCATGTAAGATACGATCGACGATGTCTGGAAATAAAGTACCTCCGTATCTCTGTTACTTTTAAGCTGTTCTACCCTTTACTCACGCAGTATACCAATTTCTCATTGAATAAAGATTCGCAACGAATATTTTCCGATTTGTATACCTATGCTTGTTCGGATTAGTTTCGAATATGAAACGGTCGCGTGTCTTTACAGCGCAAACGATACTTTAAAACGTTTCACGTGACCCGTGCAACGTATATACATGAAAGATTTCAACGATAAGAATCGGGAAACTTTGGTGAACCACCGCGTGCCTCATTTTGTCAGATTCCATCGAGGAAAGATCGGTGCTTGGAAACGATAGACGACGAACACGAGACAATGTGGTCAACGGGGGCTACGACGACAGCAAGGATAGCAGCAGCAGCAGCGGTGGTTACGACGTCGAACTGGACGCCAAGAGATTGGAAGCGCGATCAGCCGGCCGGCGCGCCGGCGGGGAGTAGTAAACGGGATATATACGCGAGTGCGTGTTGCCGAGTACGGTATTCGGCAGTCGACGCGCGACGTCCGAACGGAGCGGGTCGTATTTTCTCGTCCCGTTCCGTCTCAACCTGGCCGTGTCCAATAAGAAGTTCCTCGTGTCATTCGATATTAAATATCTCCGACGAGTCAACGAAGAAGAGGGAGACAGGGAGCAAAGGGCGCCTAGAATCATTGAAAATCAGTCGACAATCGTAAATGTTCGACCGGCCTGTGTTTTAAGATGACCGCCTCGGCACTGTCTCCTTTACCTTCCTCTCGCTTTCTTCGATCCTTCTCCGCGTTCGGTTCTATTCCGTCCACGTCAACGTCGTCGTCGTCGTTGTCATCGTCGTCGTCGTCGTGGTCGTTGTCGCAGTCACCGTTACCGTCGCGTAGGAAGAAGAAACCAAACGAGCGGAGGATCCATCGTGGTCGGCATTGTTTGGCATTACGCGTTAAGAGGAGCGGATGAATCGTCGCGTGGCAGAGCAACAGTGGAAGAAAGTGAAAGAATCGAATACGGTTCGAATAGCGGTCGGACACTGTCGTAGGATTTGGAAATCTCGCAGACCTTTGCGTACTCGTTTCCAAGTCGATCGCCAAACACCGTCTTCTCCGATTCGTTGAGATTCGCGCGAGTCTCGGCTGACATGTTGGTCGATGCGTTTAATGGTTGACAAAAGAGTAAAAGTTAAAGGTAAGAAAAGCGACGCAAAGAAGATAATAACAGTAGAGACGAGAAAGATCGAAGGAAAGAAGGAGAGGAAAGAAGGCGAAAGAAGAGAAGCGTAGGAAATTAGATATAGAATCGGTGCACGATAGCGACGAGGTGCTTCCCAGGGAGGAGGTACCCCGGTGGATCGTGCTTAAACTCGTGGATCAGGAGCCGGCTATGGGAAAGCTGGCAACGGCTGGTCGACTCGTGACCCGTGACAACGAGCGGCAAGAGGCATCGGTGTGGTTGCTCGAGCGAAGCGGCGCCAGTTCCGGCCGCGCTCTCGTCGCGGTCCCTATCGGCGGGGTCGCAGTCTGTGGCGTGATCGTCCCGCAAGTTGAATCGGAAGCACCGATCGAGGTGACCGGCCGAAACGCGTTTACCGGCACTGCGTCCAGTTGCTTGGAGAACGGTGCTCGAAAGAGGAAGAAGGATCGCCGAACGATAGCCCTGGTTGGAATTTGTCGGACCAGACACCAGGCGCTGATCGACGATCCAGACTCTCGATACTTGGTCGAGACGGCAACCGGCGGCGACGACGGTGCCGGAAGAGATGACGCGGTGATTCGCCTCGGAGATTCGTCGTTCGAGTCTTCTCTAGGTCGGAAATCCGGACGGTGGTTCGACGACATCGTCAAGCAGAATACAAAGGAGAAGAGAAGAGACATCGTTCGGGAATATCGTCCGAGAATTTCCAACGAATGGCGACAAGTAGCGCGTAAAGAATCGTTAAATCGGCGAACGATCGTCGAGGGAAGGAGATGCGAACGATGTCGTCGACGTCGGTGGCTGAACGGAAGCAACGAATCTTCTCGTCTGTTTGGAATAGCGACGACGATCGTGGCGGTTGTGGTGGCAGTAGCGGC